CGTCAGGCATACAAGCCACCAAGGAGGAACGTATTGATGACTTTTCACAGCTTGCCTATCAGTGGGACGTAGAACTGTGTACAGAAAGCAGTCTTGTGTTAGACAGATCCCATTTGTTAACAAACACTCAAAGCTAGCAAACAGTAGGTTCTTGGTGTACTAAAAATTATTCAGATGAATCAATGCAGCACAAAATAAGCAACATTTCTGGTCATTTGCTCTGAAAAGGAGAACAGTTTCTTGGAACTCAAAAGCAAAGAGGTCCAATCCCAGCCCACAAATGCTGATCTTGGATCTTCTGAGCATGTGTTTAGAGCATAAGAATGTCTGCAAAATACTGGAGACACAGATGAGAAATGCTTCTATAACTGCTTATTGCCGCTTCTAGTGTCAGGCCAAAAAGAGATCAGAACAGTACTTTTCTTCCAAACAAAGGTTTGAAAGAGGGAAACTGCAAGACCTGTTACATCCTCTGCAACTATGCTGTTAGGCCTAAAATGAGACACAAAACAAGACTTCATAACAAGCTGGCAGAATAGTGACTGTTTGAAGCATGTTCTGCCTAGCGTAACAGCTCTGGGCTTGCTGTTCTCTCGAAAGGATTTTTGAGAGCATGCTGTGGCTGCAGGAGCAGCGCCCATAGCATGCCACCCTTAGCAATCCCAAATTGATAGTGAAGATCTTGACTGTAAATTGCATGAGTGGGCACAGGGCAGGGACAGAAGTAGGAAAGCATTAAAGTGGCTTAAAACAACTGTTCCACCTCTGCCCCTGCTCCTTTCCCATGCCCAGTAGGGCAGTGGGTATGGAAATAGCTACCTTTGATTGACTTCCCTGTCGTATTCTCAGAAATAATTCATATAGGAAACACAGAAGTGCCAAGCTTTGTAACACAACTTATTTTAAATGTTTGAGACACTGCTACAGAGACATTATTCAAAGACTTCTATAGGCAGCTGATATTTTAAGAAGAAGCTTCCAGAAAATCTTTACTTCTTGTCTCATGATAAGCCACATGACCAGGCACAATCACTCAGTGTGGGAAAGAGAGGGTCAGGACTACATAATTTATTTGTTTGTTTTCCTGCTTGAACAACAAGGCTGTAGAATGAGATGGAACCAAACAGCTATGAACATAGCTGAAAGTTACTCCACTGAGTAAAATGGTAATATAAAAATACAGAAACACTCTTGTCCAACACATGAGCAGCTTGGGATGCAGGTTCTATAGAAGATTTGTGAACAAACATTGCTGAGGTTTGATAAAAAAGATGGTCAGCATCTGAATGTTGACCTTCCAAAGTATTTTATGAAATGTAACAATAAATTCCCTCCAGTTGTGGTGACTTGGATAAATCCAGACAGAAAATGAATTTCACTCACAAATATAAGTGTGACCTTGGTATTCTATGCTACATGGTTGTTTAACTCGTATTCAATGAACACCTTCCAAGCAGCTCCCTCACTCCATCCTACTGAGTGTCTCTCAGCAGAGCAACACCTTCAAGAACAAGTGAGAGCCAAACTACTATGAGGAGAGGAAGGTAATGCTTCTGCATGAATTAATAGTGTGCTCAGACATGTTTTAGCCATGGCTTTAATGAGGATGGCAAGGAATCTGTTAGATGATTCACGCGACACTGATACAGTGAAGCTCTGTGATGCTGCAGCCACTGAGGACTTGGAACTTGCAGGTGTGCACTTTGCCTACAACTTAGCTGACACACAAACCAGGGCTTGGATATTTCCTGCTTTCTCAGCTATTTTAGGACAGGAGTGTTAGTCACGTGTGGTTTTCTCACAAGCTCTCTTTCAATACTTGACTTCTTGGGGCCCAGGAGCGCTTTCATTGAAATGAATGAGCTTTCTGTCACTGATGCCAGTTTAACCCCTCACAAATTATTATGGACCCTACCGCTACTATAGCTAGACATCTAATGACCTAAAAATTATTTCAAGAAATTATTTATCCACACATCTGGTAACACAGGTTTGGGATGGAAAAGTCCCATAACCAGCTGACACTGCAGGGAACTAAGATACTGAAGGAGAGTAGGATGGAAATGCAAAGAGTGTCAGTTGTTTATGAAGCTGACTACAAGTACCCACACAGTAACTGATTTCTTCAAAATGTCTGCTCTGATGCTATTCAGTAGAGCAGGGTAAGCTGAATAAGCCATGCCACAAATACCATGACTGAGCTGCCTGGCACATAACCTAGCTGTGACTGGTGGGCATTCTTTCCTCAGCTTTCTTTCCCAGTGGGGCCTAATTCAGTCTCTAATAAATTTTAAACTGAGGAGAAAATGACACAACCATTCACTTCTAAACAGAGTCTAAAGATCACAGGCCTTGTAGAACTGTACAGAATCCAAATTAAAAGTCTTCAGCTGCCTAGTCTGGAGATCAGCAACTTAAACCTCACTGGGTGTGAAAAACAGGAGATTGCTGGGATAGTCCTTTCCAGTTTTCCTACTAAAGCTGTATTACAGAATCACCAAATCATGGATGGCTGAGGTGGAAAGAGACCTCTGGAGGCCACATAGTTCAACCCCTGCTCAAGCAGGGCCATCCAGAGCAAGGTCCCTAGGCCCACGTCCAGGTGGCTTTTGGAGATTTCAGAGGAGGAGACTCCACAACCTCTGGGCAGCCTTTGTGATGGATCCATCATCCACACAGCACAGTGCTGTATGGTGTTCAGTGGGAACCTCCTGTGTGCCAGTTTTTGCCCACTGCCTCTTCTCCTGGCACTAGTCACCTCTGAAAACAGCCTATCTCTGTCTTCAATGCATCCTCCCATCCCATTATTGAGATTCCCCCTGAGCATCCTCTTCTCTGAGCTGAACAATCCCAGTGCTCTAAGCCTTCCCTTGTATGATAGATGCTCCATTCCTTTAATAACTCGGACTAGGTTCCATATATCCATGCCTGTTTGCACAGAGCCCAGAGTTGTCCCCCTCCCTCAGCCTGCTGATGCTGACTCTTCCTCATGCAGCCCAGCAAGCTGTGGACCACCCCTGCTGTGAAAGTGCCCTGCTGGCTCATGTCTAGCTTGAGCACTGGGTCCCCCTGGGCCTTCTTTGCAGAGCTGCTTTCCAACTGGGCAGCCCCCAGCACAGACTGGTGTATGGGGTTGTTCCTTCTCAGGTTAAAGACTTCACCCTTCTCATTGTTTGGCTTCATAAGGTTCGTGTCAGCCCACTCCTTCAGTCTTTTCAGGTCCCTCTGGACAGCAGCACGACCTTCCAGTGAATCAGCCACCCCTGTTTTCTGAGAGTGCATTCAACCCCATTGTTCAGATTATTAACGAAGATGGGTTAACGCATATATTTGTTTGCAGGGTAGTGACAGAAGGGTGACTCCATAGCTCAAAGGCTCAGGCACACATTAAGGAGGTCACTACTCCCAGAAGTAGGGGAGTTTATAAAGTTGACAAGTATATCCTCAGGTATTACAGTCCAAACAATGGCTGTTGCCAGGGAAGCTGAAGATCCTAGTCCAGCAAAAGGGATTCCTCTGGGCAGCAGTCTGGTGATTCACTGTACTTGGATACATCAATTCTTTTCACTGTGCTTAGCAGCATCTCCTGCTGTGTGTCAGGTATTGAATCATGAAAATTCAACCATCTGCTGTGGAGGAATGGGGCAGCTGGTACCATTATTGGTCTTCCTTTGTGAGAGAGCTGGGACATGTTGTTCACTTCTAGCCATACCTAATAATATGAAAGCATTCCTATATGCAATCTATAGTTTTTGTCCTACATCCTTTGCCTAAGGTCATACTGGATGTCTGTGTTGGCAGAGAACTGGCACATATAATCTAAGTTCCTCCCTGGAGCTCTACCCACTGGGAGAAATTTCCTCTCAGTGGGAACAGGATAAGACTTTTGAGAAGCAATTTAATTAGCCTCTTTGGAACAACTAGAATTTTTGAGACATTTGGCCTGTAGCTGATTAAGCTTCTTGTCATGGTGGTAGCTCACATGGGACGTCTATGTTCTACATGGAATTCACTTAATATTAAACAAATGTTTATCTCACATTTTTACATGCTACTCACAGAAGGGCTATATCTATCATAAACAGTTACTTGGAAGGCATATTGATGTTTATCCTACTGATGGATTTCTTTAACACTGATATACCTCAGTATAGCTATAGGCTTCTGTAGTTACCTTTGATGGCCTTTTAATGGCAGAAGCTGTCACAGTTTGCATTCTTCAAATGTGAACAACTATTAGGAAAAATATGTAGCTGAATTCTGTAAAATAAGTAGGATTTTTTTGTTGTTGTTTTGGTTTGTTTTTTTTTTTTTTGTTTTGTTTTTTTCCCACACCCAAAATACAGGAAATTGGGGTTAGCTGTCAGGAGAGGAGGGCATACAAATAAATACGATTTCAGTAAGATTGTTAAGTAAAACTTCAGGCAATTTCCTCTCATTCTGCTGATAGTAACTGATCTCCTGGATTTTGTTTTGCTTTAAAACAATGCTGCTGGGAAGAGATAAGTAAGAGTGAGAGAGCAGTAAAACAGATTTTCAGCACACAAACCTCTAGAATGCATGCATTCTGCCCCTTTAAATTTTTCAAGTTTTAATGCTCCAACTGCTGGAGGAATATTCTGCAACACAGAGTTTTAGGCAAAAATTCCTAATTGAATTTCTGACTGCAGGCAGGAAAAGTAGCTGTTTATATTTAAGTATCTTCTCACTGGGCAGTTAAAATATGTTTTCAAAAATCAGCTAGAATAAAAGCAGCAAAACCCCTCAACATTTTCCAACCACACACAATTGCCCCAAATAATTCCTATTCAAATTTAAGGAAAAACTTATAGTATTATGAAGTCAACTGTTGGCACGTTCTGGTGTTTTAATGACAACCATAACACTAACTCATTAGCACTTCTACAACAAGCAGATTTAGCTTTTGTGAAGTGGACTGGTGAGTTCCCTCATTTGAAGCAAACTGTTATCTTATATGAGAGTTAAGAACAATGACTTACCAGCTCTAAAAACCTCCTCACCACCTGTCTTTGTTTTAAGTTAGTTTCACCATCCAGGTTAGCTGTTTCTATATGGCACAGCCCATCAGGATCACTTGAAGAGAGCAGCAAGATGTCAGCAGGTATGATTTCATTACAACGAAGCTGAACAAAGTCTCCAATTTTCACTTCTTTCCAGTATCTGCTTATATATTTCTTCTCGGTCCTGGGGGGAAAAAGAAAAGAGAGATTAACAGAACATACACAAAATAGACGTAGGCTGGAGGACCCCAGATATGACCCAATTTGATCTGTAACAGGAATTAAGTGGAAGGTCCACAGCTATGCTCACATTATGCTAGGATAATGTCATGCAGGCTGCAGGAGGCAACTTCTCACCAATTCAGCCCCAGGTCAGAGTTTCCACATCCTTTAAGAAAACCAGTTGTTCTTTAAGGCCCAGACAAGAGAGACACAAATCTGTTACTGAAAGAAACTTCCAATATTTGTCAGTAAACTTAGCATTCCAAGCACATGTAATGTGACACTGGAGCCAGGTTTCTTCGATAGCACAGGCAGAACAGGATTCTGATAACGAGATTACTATTTTATATTCTTTTAAGTACATTATTTAGAAATACATTACTTTCAGTAGTAATGTGAATAGACTTGTAACTAAGAACAAACGTGGAAGTCCTGCTAAAGTTGTTACTCTGGATCTACAGATAGTGATGCCATGCCTAATTCATCCTCATCATGCCTTCACTGGCGTTCCTGGAATTAGAATCTTTGTATGTTTTTATCCATCTGTTTACCCAGAATGGTAACATGTCAGGTAGAGCAACAAGGATGAAATCAGATCAGGTTTTATTTCCCAGAACTTCCTCACTGCCTTTTCCTAACATCCATTTTATAAAGTAAGGAACAAAAACAATGGCTGTGCTTTCTATTTCAATAAAGTCAGGAAAGTAGTAAGACGAGTTAAGTGTAAAGCATGAGAATACAATGAGGGCAGTAATGTATGTACTAGCTAGAGATATTACCCATTCTCTCCACACTCAGGCTGAAACAAGTGTTTCACTTTTTCTGCTAAGGAGCAGGAGCTGCACTGAAACCCAGCATGTCATAAGGCAGTTCAACTCACCACACAGTGGATCTGAACTGTTCATTGGCTGTGCACCCTGTAACTCTAAATCACTACACATGTGGCCATTGATCCTTGATTATTTTTACGAACTGGGTGATGATGTTCAGATGCATGTAGAGAGTAGCAATGCAGACATTTGAGTTGGCTGCAGTGCTGTAAGGGCAACTTTTATTTGACTTAACTTGCTTGAAAAGCATTGCTATTTCAGCATTTCCTCATCTCTCACACGCTTGGCAACTGCAACAACTCCATACTCTGTGGTAGGATACAGGAGCATGGTTCCACTAAGATAAAAGAATGCAAGACCTCCTGCATACATCCTGGAGAGGCACGGGAATCAGGTGGCCTCCAGTACTGCACTTGATGCAGCTCTGTTAACAGGGGCCATCAGTGGATGAACTACCTGCGTGCAAGGAAAATGACTTCTCAACCCTCTTCAGACAGGTCTGCTCTTACCCAGTCCTTAGATGTAACTGGTCTTATTACAGAATGTGAATTGTAACTATGAGTATTCTCTACAAAGTACACTACAATACTATCTTCAGTGGTGGAGGTTTAGATAGAAGGGGCCCTTTTCATGACTGTAATGACTCACCTTACATCAGCCTGTAGTGACAGAAAACCTGAATTAAACACGCTACTCATGTATAGACATATGTGCATTGTTACGTCTTTGGTGTTTCCTTCAAGTGTTTTTTTATAGTTCTCAAATTCAGAGCAAATGACATTTAAGCAGGTGCTTCAGCAGAGCTTTTCGTGGTCATGGCCAAGCTTGGAGGAAGTTAGCAGTTTAAAATTCAAGGCTGAAAAGGAATATCAGATCATGAAGATCCACTCCCTGCATCTGAAGGCATTTATGACATTGTGACCAAGCCCAAAAGAGGGACAAGAACAGGCACTCTATGCACTAGAACAGAAGAACATCAGCATAATGCAGTAACATGGGTATTTGTTACTTATCCAACAGCCTGCACAACTTTTCCTGGCAAGGTCCTGTCTATCCATCTATCTGTTCCTTCTGAAAGGCCTTTCTGTCTCTCTAGTCTTTAATATCCTACATCTGAAAATCTTGCTGTCTTTCCTGTTATGACTACCCAGCTGATAAGTCGATGTTTCAAACGCAGATGTGTGAACCTACTAATCTGGGATCCTGCCAGTTCTTGTGGCTTGGTCCTGATTCTCTGGCTACTGTATGGTCAGCACCAGTCCTCCACAGCTCTACTGCAGGGTTTCCATGCTGCTCACACAGAACACCTTGACAAAAGCTTTTGGCAAGTGTAAATGGATGTCATCCAATCTCCTGGAATATGTTGTGAAAGTGCTCAGGAAACTCTGGCAGAACACAGGACTAGAAGACAGTCCTAGGCTGGATGTGTAGGCCAGAAACTAGCAGCAAACTGCTCTAGTTCTACCTGCTCTCACGTACAACAAGCCAGAAGATATATTTTAGTATCTATAACAAACCCACGGGTGATGCAGCAAGAAACCAAAGTGGCAAGCAACGGTGAAAGACAGGAAGAGGTCAGAAATACTAACTCTTGTCTTTCAAGCCAGGAGAGGTAGATGAAACTCTTCCACAACAATACGCTGTCACGGACTACTGCCATTCTGCAAAAGATACTGCTTTTACTCTCTAGTTAAATCACTGTGATGAACTATTAATTTCAGACAGCTCTGCCCAATTCCAGACAGGTAGGTAATGCATTCCATGGGGCTCACATACTAGAAATGTCTAGCTTCCTGACCCCAGCCTAATCTTCAGCAACACATTTGCATGCAAAATAGGATCAACTGTACAGCTGTGGTTGTAAACCCTTAGTCACTTGAACCCTCCTTCTCCTTCCTTGCCAGTGCTTTTACTTTTCTGAGCACATCTTTACTGGTAGACATTGACTGAAAGCTAGAGATGGATGGCTAACAAGTCAGCTGGCTCAGCTGTACGAACATCAATACTGTTAGTCAGCAGCAAACATAGTCCTGGCAGCAGTCAGACTCCTTTGGAGGTTAATGCCCTTTTGCAACAACGAAGGGCAAATATTCCAGCATATCTGCTTTCAAATACGCAGGGGAAAATTTACAACTTCAATCTTGTAAACATAGAGAAAATGATTCTAATTGCTATTTAAAAATTTGTGTTAGTCTGCTTACTGCGTGTATTTGGCCAATATTCTGCTTTGAAGCAGAACTGCCTGCAGGTTTGGGCCAAATTTGAGAGTGGCTTTGGTTAACAGCAAAACAAAACAGACAAAAAACCAACAAAATACTACTCAAATTTTAAATTTATAGGCAAAAAAATAATCTTTAAGATCCAAAAGCTCAAACAATACTTCTTGTTTTCCTTAAATCATGCTGTTCCCTCTTCTGGTTTTTAGCACATGCTGATAAAGATCATACCAATAATTTTACTCTTCTGGGCATATAAACATCAATTTATGTCTATAAAAAGCTAAAGACTGTAAAATATCTCTGGCTGAATATTTAAATAATTGTTTGCCTTTTTTGAATAGGTTTTAACTGTTCTAGTGTGGCAACGCCACACTTAAAGGGAGGTAACAAACCCTGCATGCACAAAATTTAGCAGGAATCTTACATGTCTTTCTCTCTCTCTCTCTCTCTTTCAAAAAAAAGCCTGGTGAAGCTATCACAAGCAAGTGTCATTATGAAATGTGAAGGCCATGAAGTTGTAATCTGTTGTTCTGGTGCAAGGCCTATATACTAGAAATTTTATACCTTAAACTGACAATATGGAACTACAAGGGAATCTCTTCTTGCTTCCTATACTTCTCCAGTGACAAAAATTACAGTTAATGGGTGTGAATTGCTAATGTAAATTTGCTCTAAGTGAATGATCAGGGAACTTGTAACACTTAATCCTAATCTAGGTTCCTCTACAAATTTCAGCAAAGCTTGTCAAAGACATTTAGCAAAAGGCAGGGGATATCTTCTTGTTTTGCTTGGGGGTGCTGTGCTCCGTCTGGCTTACCCAACATACTACTCCCTACTCAGGGTGAGACTGCAGTCTAGAAGCTTCTAAGACTCTCAAAGCATCCAAATGGAACGTTTCCCAGTCCAAGCCCATCCGTTGACCTGCTTTTGAAGTAACTATTGTCCCTACTTCAAAAGAAATCAGCATCCTTTGCCTTCCCTGCCAGATTATGTTGACCACTGAACTAGAAGGCTTTAAGAGAAACACAGCAATAAATCTATTCTGTAGAAGAGGAAAAGCCCTCCACAAGAGACAGGTCAAAGAGCTGTGTACAAGGCATTCTTCGGAGTTGTTGATGTTAGCCAAGTCCTCCCCTTCCATCTCTGGAGGCTGAAAGAGAGGGGATGAACTAAAGAAAGCATCATGCACATCTCTGACCCCAGTGAGTTAGAACATGTTCAAGTCAGTTGGCTACAATGCCAGGACAAGGCTTCCAGTTAGGAACAAGCTAATTAATAAACCTGAGGATAACTGGCAGGACCCAAGCACAGCAGCAATTTCAGTATTAAAAACAAAGCTAGGAAACCTCATACTGTAATGCAAGCACAGGAGTTCTAGAGCAGGCAAAACTATCTTTAGGGAGACTATTATTCAGCTGTTTGTAAACAATTCTTCCACATGCTCACAGAATTTTCCCTCATTGCCTGCGCTGGAGCCCTAATTTTCAACCGTCTACCTCTCTGCCTGATTCTACTGTAGATGTGGAGAGTCCATAGTACTCCATTAACACTACAGTGGTAAACTGAGATTATGTGTAATTCTGCAAAGGCTACAGAAGCAGAAATGGTGGACAACACTGAAATACACTTATAAAAATTGTTGTTATAACCAGAGACCAAAGCATATATTAAACAAGGCCTGAACATGCCAAATGCCTATGGAAACATGTTGAGAATCATTTGAGCACAATTACAATGTTGTGGCAGAATGAAGAAAAAACATGTAAGTTAATGCTAAGGCAGGTTACATAATGCCCAGAATATGCCTTCATTCCACCACAAACGATAACATCTGTTTCTCTGAAAATAAATCATGAAGAGGCTCCAAATCTGATATTAATCAGACAAAACGGATTAACAGAATGTTCTTGAGA